CTTGCACAGATAACACTAACCAAGTCCCAAGAATGTGGGCTGCTTGTGTGTCCCGAGGACAGGGCAGACAAAACACTCAGAACAGAACAGAGGGCTCAGTTCTTAAAAGTGGGAAGCCCAGATGCCATAGTGTGCTTGGTTGTCTAGGATTCCTGTGACCCAGGGCAGCAGCCTGAGAATCTGAGCCACTGAGGCTGAGCCTCCCGGTATTAACTTGGGTGTTTTTTCCTCCTCTCCTGGGTGCATGTGTTGCCCACAGTGACAGTACCCTGGGGTGGGAAGGCCTGGGTACCAGGCACCCAAATAACCCAGCCTTCCCTATACCATCTACCCCCAAACCCCTTGGCTACCTCTGAGCTACTCAGGCTGCAGGACCCCTTAGAGGTCTCTACCTTGAGATGGGGCTCTGGCAGCCATGACCTAGTACTGACTGTCTCCAGGGGCCCTCTCATCCCATGCTGCAGATTCAGGCTCCATTCAGTGTCTCTCTCAGCCTAGGCCCAGGTCTTGCTGCACATGTCATGGACACTGGGCTATTCTGAAGGCCACGTCCCTGTCCCCCATTCCCAGCTAAGAACAGAGCTGGCTTCTCCCTCCTACTTACTTCTGGCCTGCATCTCACTCCTCTATCCTTCCACACCAGCTCCCGAACAGAACCAGAGCTTCCTGAATGTGGGATTCACTCATGCCTGAAGAGGCCACCCTGCAGGCCACGGAGTCCCTCTGAGGTCTACAGACTTCTTGAATGGTTGACTTCATGTCACTCTCCTTCTCTCTGGCCTAAAGGTCCCATTCATCCTTCATAAATGTGGTCAAGATCATGCCTCTCCCTTCAACCAACTTATGGCAGTGCTTTTCTGGGCAGTGGAGACAGGGTCTTGCCCAATTCAGTACAACCTCCATACAATGACCCTGACAAGAAGAAAAGAGTAACCCCACCATGTCCATGCTATGCTAAAAAGATGAATGAGAGACTACTGGACCAGAACCAGGTGTCCAGGGATGGGGACCAGGTTCCTTTCTCCTCATCTTAGCCTCAGAGAGGGAGCTTGTACTCTCCTGCCTGCCTTACAAAACCACTCACCCACTAACCAGGCTCTGCACTCTGAGCTCATTCCACATTCTCAACTCCACGCCTCTTTCCAGAGGTGAGTGGTAATTAAGCCAAACCCCTCTGTAGATTGTCCATAGGAAATGAGACCCCTATATCCAACAATCAATGGGTCCTGCAGCTAGCAGCTCCAGGAACTGGTGCTCAGAAGTGTGAGACATGGGTGGGGGCCTACAGCAATCACTCAAGACTGACCCTGAATCCCCCTTCAGAGGTCTGCCTCTATGACTGGGAGACTGCACCAGGGTTTTTTTTCCCTTGTTCTGCCCCTTCTCCCAGTTGTGACCTTGAGGAAGATACTCCCCTAAGGGCAAGAGAGCCTGGTGGTCCCAGAGAGTCAATTCAATCACTCCTGGTGGCTGCCCCCAGTCTCCTCACTCCTTCCAGTTCCCTGCTACTCAGGAGATGGTGATGGGCAGGGTCCCTGTCGGAGGCCTGGGGGATCCCACTCCCCAGTCCTCTCTAGTGTTTCCCTGGGGAGTGTAGAAACAGTACAGGTACTGACCTTTGAGTTCCAATTGGCTGGAGGGGGCAGTCATATGGGCAGCCTGCAGGGGGCAGAATTGCAACAGGGACTGAAGCCTGCAACCTGGAATTATTCTTGGGAGAACAAAGAGGGTGGGTAACTGGGAGGACTGGATCCAGGATGGGCACTCCTGGCTCGAAGCAGGATCTAAGTAGTGGGCGATGGGGTAGGGGTGCAGAGGGTGAAGAGGGACATAACATTGAGCAGGGGTGCAGAAGGCAGGGGCGACTGCCTTGCGTTAAAGAACTCTATTCAGAGTGGGAGCTGGTCGGGGTCTGAACTCCCTGGAGCACCTGGGTGGGGCCCCAGCCTCAGACCCAGCTCCAACCCCAACCCCAGCCTGTGGTAAGCTTGTGACTGCGTGGGCAGGATGTGGGGGGACAGGGCCCCATTCCTCAGCCCCTAGGCTGAGCCCTGGGCCCCCCGAGCCAGAACAGACTCAGGAAATGGCCTGATTGCGTTTGTACGGGAACGCCAAATCCCTTGCAGCTGCGCGGGGCCAGGGCCACGGGCGGGGCGGCCATCGCCAGAGTCTTGACAGCTCCGAATAACGTGCCAAGGGGTCTGGGCTGCTGGCCGGGGGGCGCCTTTCCCAGGCCAGAGGCCCCCACCCCACCCCACCCCAGGAGAGCCACCCCCTTCCAGTTCCCAGAACGGAGCCCAGCTGTGGAATAGTGAAGGGGTGAGGTCATGGGGAGGGGGCGCATTACTCATTGCTTGAGGCAGGCAGGAGGGAAGAGGCAGGGGAAAGGGGCCCCAGGCCTCCTCAGCCTCAGAGCAGGGTCAGGAGCTAGGACACGCTTCTTTCCAGCAAGGAATTGGGGGTGATGATAGTAGACCCCTACCCTGTATCCCCACTATGTCCCCAAGACTTTGTCCAGGAAGAGCTAAGTTAGGGTAACTTTGGAGGGGTGTGGGTCCCACAAAGGATGTTCTCAGAAAATACACTTTGGCCTCCTGCCAGTCCCAGGCTCAGGCCGGCACCACGTTGTCGGGGTGATGGTTAGCAAAACAGTAAATAGTGAGGCAGGGGCGGCCCCCTGAGGGAGCTTGGGAGGGAATGGGACCTGCTGTTTGTGATCCCCTGTTCCCTGCCCTTGCCTGCACATGTTTGAGAGTGACCCTGTGTACTCCTGTGGGCGTGTGTGTGTGTGTGTGTGTGTGTGTGTGTGTGTGTGTCTGCCTACGTGGCCACATCAGATGTGTATGTGTCCTGCACCCAGGTCAGGAGAGAGATCTGTGTTTGGGGTCCCTGTAGTCATTCCTATATTCATTGCAAACCAAGCCCCCACCCCCCCACCCCCAGTCCCTTTCCCCAGGCTTTGCATGCTGGTGACAGACTGTGGTAGCTTGGACTTTCTGCTCCAAGAGTGAAGTACCCCAAGGGGTCCTGCACGTAAAAATGCTTGCAGGGAGGTTGCCCTTGTTAGAACAAGTGAGGTTCTGGTGCCATTCAAAGTGAGACCCCCCTACTCAAGATATCCATACTCACAGAGCTGAGCTTAGCCTTGTGACCCAGTCTTTGCACACGCAAATAAGAACTTTACACGTAAGTTCAAACACATGTACACTTACCCTGCACATGCATAGGTTCAGAGAGCAAGAACAAACTGACCCCAGGGGGTATCTCTTTATGGTCTGCCTCTGAAGCAGGCAGAATGTGGAGTTCTCTTCTCCCCACCCACTCTGCCCTGATATTTTTGGGGGGCTGCTGGTAAACGTGTATGCAAGGAGCGACCCACAGCCCCCAGCACACAAAGCTGTACTTCACTACGTGGAGAGGGGCCAAGAGCGGCCCCAATATTGATTGAGGCCATGGAGGGAGCCAGGAGGCCTTCGGCATCTGCCTGTGATGGGAGCCAGGTGTAGGGAATTAAAAGGCTTTCTCAGGCTGGAAGTTGAAGGCCCTTCTGAGGCTGAGGCAGGCAGCTCGGCTTGGGGGTGTGAGGTAGGAGCGGGCAGGCAGCTTGCATGGCTGGAGTCCCATGTGGCTGGTGGGGAGGGAGGTGGGGGGGTGAGGGAGGAGTGAACCTCATCCCGGAGCCTGCGGAGAGGCCTGGCTTTCGTCTGAGAGGCTTAGGGGAGACCTGGAGAGATTAGATCATGTACTGGCAGGGCTTCCTGGCCAGGGGACTGAGGCCCAGGGGGGAGCGGGATGTGGGGTCATTCGGCGGACACTGCCCGAGAAGCACAGAGACCCCAGAAGGGAGACAACTCTGAGCAATTCAGGCACCTTGGGCCTGGGGCAGTAAGAACTGTAGAAACAAAGGACCCAGTCCCTCTCAGCTCCAGCTGTTTTTTTTTGCAGGGGGGAGGGGAGGGTTGGCTAAGGGGCAGTGGCCAAGGCCTAAGGTATCTACTAGACACCAGAAGCACAGGTTTGCTGTGTAGGGTCTCTAGATCCTCTGGGCCCAACAAGCCTGATTCCTCTGACTGTTCCCTGGCTTAGGGAAAGGGATTCTAAGGAGCCTGAATGTCAGCCTGCTCTGAGGGCTGTAGATATTGCTTGCCTTAGTTTCCTCACCTTCAAAACAACCCAGAGAGACTCCGCAGAGAACCCTGGGGTAAGGGTGGGGTACTTTAAGCTCCTTAAGTGCAAGGTAGAGAGAAGAAGGGGCTGTAGAAAGACAAAGAAAGCCTGACCTGGTGGCTACTAGATGCAGTTTCACACTTGGAGACTGTGTGCTAGCTACCCACATGGCATTCTTAGGATGCAGGAAAGAAAGTTCCAGATGGGGACCTTAGAGGTAGCTATCTGACTGGCAGCCATGGCCAAGATTCTCTATCTGGACTCTCTGTCACCTTTTCCAAAGCCTTCTTTGGTCCCCCACATGAAACAAGGGAACTCTGCTCTAACTTAGGAGGCAGCCAGCAGGACAGGACAGTTGGTCATCAGCCCCAACACTGGTTTGCCTGAAGCCTATGTGAACACTGATGTCTCTTCCAGAGGGTCATCTGTATGTAGAGCCCTGGGATTAACCCCCTGGCCACAGGCACTTTTATACTACCTTTGCATAGCCTTTATTTATTTATTTATTTATTTATCTTTATATGAGTACACTGTAGCTGTCTTCAGACACATATTAGAAGAGTACATCAGACTCCATTACAGATGGTCGTGAGCCACCATGTGGTTGCTGGGGAATTGAACTCAGGACCTCTGGAAGAGCAGTCAGTGCTCTTAACCACTGAGCCATCTCTCCAGTCCATAGCCTTTATCTTAGACCAAACTGAGGTCTGCAGACTGGTCCAGGGGCTTACCCTCACCAGCTGGTAACAGGGCTTGTCCATTACCCTTGTATGTCACTCATGGTATGACTTTCTCAGTCATGTAGCCTGACTGTCTCTGTGTCTGCCCTCCAGGCTCACAACTCAGTGGAGAGAAGAAGATGAAGAAGAGGCTGCCCGTGAGCAGCGCCAACGGGAGCGAGAGAGGCAGCTGCAGGACCAGGACAAAGATGAAGAAGATGAAGATGACGGTTCCCTGGAACAGCCAGGACAACAGGCACTGTAAGCTGCTGGGTCCCAGACCCCTATTTACTGCCACACAAGACCTGGGCAGAAACACATATTGGGGGTCAGTCCTGGCCTTGGAGCCACAGTATAGGAATTAGAGGAAGGGACTGGCTCTTGGGACAAGCATCATTACAGTCTCCAGTAAACACCATCTGTGGGATGCTGATGAGCCAAAGGAAAGGGTCCACAAAGTTATGTGAGGCCTCCCCTCCCAACCTCCAGGGGCCCTGACTCAGGCTCTGGACACCCTGAATGGCCCCAGCCCTGGCTTGGACTGGTGCTGACCCCAGCCATGAGGCCCTGGCTCCCAAGCCCCCCGCCCAAACTCCTGGCTGCCGGTGACTCACGGAGGCCACGTCCAAGTTGGCGGCCACGGGCCGGCTCGTTTCCTCCTCAGGCCCAGGAGGCCTCCGCGGCTGGGCTGGGCTGTTTTTCCAATAACTCTCCCCTTCCTCCTGGCCCTGTTTTGTTCCATTTTCTCGGAGTCAGCAGCTTTGGGCGGGGTGGGGTGCTGCTGGGGTCATGGCCTTTCAGCCAGGTCTTCAGTTACTGGGTCCTCGCTAGCCCCCAACTCCTTCTTACCCAGTAGCTCACCCTGTAGCTTGAGAAAGGCTATGAGGACCAGCCTGAAGACCACAGCAGTTTCAAGAAACCCTAGATAGATGGAGGAAAACACAGTCCTCTCTTGTGGAGCCCTAGACTTAAGGAAGAAGCAGAGCCCTGCTTTAGGGGAGCTGAGGATAGATGAAGGAAGCACAGCCATGCCCTCAGGGAGCCCTAGACTGATGGAGAGGCATAGCCTTGTACTCAGGGAGTCCTGGGCTGATGGTGGAGGCATAGTCCTACTCTCAGAGAGCCTTCCATTGAAGGAGAAGGCATAGCTGTACTCTCAAGGAGTCATAGACTAATAAAGGATGTATAGCCTGACCCTCAGGGAGCCCCAGATTGATGATGGGGCCATAGTCTACCCTCAGGGAGCCCTAGAATGATGGTGGAGCCATAGCTGAGTCCTTGGGGAGTACTAGACTAATGGTAGAGCCACAGCCCTACCCTCATGGAACCCTAGACTGATGGTAGAGCCACAGCCCTGCCCTCATGGAACTCTAGGCTGATGGTAGAGCCGTAGTCCTGCCCTCAGGGAACCCTAGACGAATAAGGAAAACAAGCACATCTCTGCTCTCGGGAAGCTATAGGCTCCTAGGGAATGCACAGCTTTACCTTGGGTGATTTCAGCCCACAAGGAGACAAACTTAGCCATGGAGAGCCACCTCTGAAGCAGATGGTCACTCTCCTACTGGGAGTCAGGGTTGAAGGGAAGAGACAAGGGAAGGAACATAGGCTGTGGCATGAAGATCATCCCTAACCCTCTCTTCCACCGCCCTTTCAGCCTCAGCCTCAAGTCCTCTGAACTGGATGAAGATGAGGGTTTCGGTGACTGGTCCCAAAAGTCGGAGCCACGGCAGCAATTCTTGGGGAATGAGGGGACTGCAGAGGGGACTGAGCCCTCTCAAAGTGAGAGTCCAGGAGAGAAACAAACAGAGGAGAGGCAAGTGTGGACCAAGGCACTGGCTCTCTCTGACCCCAGCCTGGGCCTGGACAATTCTTTCTGCCTACCCTTCCCCTTGGGGGGGAAAAATGTTGCTCAGAGTATGAAGAAGATAGGGAGGTAGGAAGAAAGGGAGATAGAGGGCAGGATGGCCAGTGAGGGGGCTACAGGGGAAGAGTAATGGGGATATTGCATTGCTGGGTTCCCCAGGGCTGGGGGGCCCCATCCTGACTAGCTGCGGCCAACTGGGGGGGCTGCCACATCAGCACACAGCTGCAGCCCACTTACGTAATGTACAGCCCACGCCCGCCAGCCCTCCCCAGGCTGGCTGAACTCCATTCCCACGAAGGGGAGCAGGTACTTCCAGATGTGAGCCTGTGAGGCGGCCCAGGGGACACGTTTTCCAGATGTGTGGACGTGTGTGCCTGTCTAAATCAGGATGAACGGAGGCCCAAAGTCCCCTTGGGTCTGGAGATGAGGGGCTGCTGATGAAGTCTCACCTTGCCTTCCCACACTGTTCAGGGCCAGGTGTGAGCATAAGTCTGCCTTTTCCATCAGGCCTAGGGGCTTCAGCCCTGCTAGGGAGCCCCAAAATTGGAGGCTAGGGCCCTATTGCCTTGAGTGAGCCAGAGCCAAAGGCTGAGCTGTCTTCCCTTAGCAATTACCCCACTCCTATCCCCTAAGAGGCCCCTGGGCCAGCAGGAGCAACTGCTGAACTCTTCTCATTTAATGAACTTCAGTTTCAACTCACAAAATCCCTGTCTTTTCCTGGGGCCCTGGTTCTGAGCCTGCCCACTGCCAGCTATCCTGGGTCTGCCCATCACCAACCTCGATTTCCCCTTATCTGCCTGCGTACTTTCTACCTATTCTGGGTTTCTAGGCAGGCTGCTGCTACAGCCCTGCCCTTAGCTCACTTCTTTCTCCTGCTTAACAGCAGGGGGCACTTTAGATCTTCCAGCAGAGCTCTGGTGCTGCAGCCACCGCCCTAACCCTCAAACCCGCCAGACTGCCTGGCCCACCAGCTCTTGAATGGCCCCTCTGTGTGGCTGCTGCTGGCTCCGACCCCAGCCCACCTTGGGCGGTGGGTTTGGGTTTTGGCTGGCACATTTACCAAGGGGCCTGACATCATGGAAAATACAAGAATTTACTATCTTCTCCTCCAGGTTCAGAGCCGCTCAAACACAGAGTCACGCCTGGCTGCCCATTGGCTAGCTGCCCCTCCCCAAGGCCCCTCGCCTCAGTAATGCAGTCCCTTCCCTTGAGTATTTCATCTGCTGACCCAGCACCCCTAAACATTCTGACCCTAGGCCTCCAATGGTCTCTCCTCAATGTTATGTTCCGCTGACCCATTTTGCCTATATATGGACAGAGGAAAAGCCCCTAGAAGCTGGCCTTGCCCAGATAGTTGCTGTAGGAAGCATCCAGCTTCAGTACTTGGGTGGCCCTATACAGTGAGTAGCTAATGTCTTCAAAGGGGTCTTTTAGGACCCCTCAGCACAGAGGCTGTAGAAGACTGTGCTGACTTTGAACAAAGCCCTATACATCCTTTTATGTAAGTGCTGTGGCTGGACCTGTAAGATGCTTAGTGGGTAAAGGTGCTTGCTAAGCCTAACACCCTGAGTAGATGCCCAGGACCCACGTGGTGGTAGGAGAGCACTGACTCCCTCAGTTGGCTTCTGACACACTCCTGTCTCTCTTTAAATAAATATTGAAAGAGAAAGGGCTGGGGGGGGTGGTAAAAAAACAATGTTTTGTTGTTGTTGTTTTTTTTTTTTAATCACTGTGGTCTTAAGAGCCCTATGTACCAACTCATTGGACTGCCCCATTTTACAGATGACATACCAAAGGCTTGGAACTGTAGATAGCTTAGAACCAAGCAAAAATGATCCTCTACTATTGTCTTTGTCTCCCTTTTCTCCCATAGTTCTCACCAAGCTAATGACCACTTGGAGGAGTCAAACCTGAGCCACAGGGAGCCCAATCCAGAGGATGCTATCGGAGGTTCTGGGGAGGCAGAAGAGGTGAGAGCTTCCTCAGGGGCTGGGGCTGTGAAACCCCATGGGTACTGTGGTCTCATAAACTGGCCTAGAAGAGACATCAGCCCCAACCCTATACTTGAGTCCTTCCAGGACATATTTTTGGAGGGTGGTGAGGTTGATGACCTTCTGGGCAAGTTCCTCCTCCATGACCAAGAGACTCTTCCCTGCAGTCAGGGATTCCAGAGTTATAGCATGTCAGGGCCAGACCAGGCCTGAGGCCCCTGAAGGGGAAGTCCGATGCTCTGACAGGCCCTGGGTGGGGCAGGAGGGTGCAGGGAGGGGTCATCTAAGCTGCCTGTGTTTCTTATCCCTAGCATCTGATAAATCATCAGGCCAGGACCCCCAGCCCTTTGACCTTGGAAGACACTGTTGAACTGAGTTCACCTCCCCTGAGCCCCACCACCAAAGTAGGTGAAGCCTGAGCACCCCTTTTATTGCAGTTTATGTCTGCTTTTCATGTTCTCCTCACCCCCTGCTGTACTCATAAACCCCTGTGATATGGAAGTGGGGTTGGGTACCCAGTGGGGAGACTCACTGGGGTCATGAGCCTGATGTTGCTATCTGTGACCCACACCTCTGCACATCTTCCACAGTTGGCTGATAGGACAGAGTCCCTGAACCGCTCCATTAAAAAGAGGTGAGTCGACCTGGTCTCTGGCATTCTCAAAGACAGGGTGGGAGAGTGGCTGTCGGTGGAGATCGGGATGTAGTGCTCTGGGAGGGGCTTTGGGTGTGCTGGGAGGACTTTGGAAGGTAAAATAAGGCTTATCCTTTCTTTTACTCCTAGCAACAGTGTGAAGAAGTCTCAACCAACCTTGCCTATTTCCACCATCGATGAGCGCCTGCAGCAGTACACCCAGGCCACGGAGGTGAAGTATACTCAGTTCTCTGAGGCCAAAGCTTCTCTTTAATATGCCATCACCCATCTTCCTAAGCAACTCTCTCCATCCCATCATCTCCCACTCTCTACTTAACCAGTGTCCTTCCATCAACTCACATTGCCTCTTCCATAAACCCTAGGTCTCTTACATCACAACAGGCATGCTCTGTTTGTTCATACACCCCATTCAACCAGTGCCCCTCCCACTATGCAACATGCCCTTCCTCCGTCTAACAAAGCCCACTTACTTAAACAACATCCCTCCATCTAACCTATACCCCTTCATCAGCATTGTTCTTCATTTAATACCCCTCCACTTAACCAACACCCTGTATCCAATCAGTATCTCTTTATCTAACTAGTTCCCCTCCATCCAATCAGTGTCTCTCTACACAACCAGCAGCCCTCCATTCAAGCAACATTCTTCTATATGCTCTTTCTCTATTCCATTGTGAGTCCTCCTCTATCAAGCTCACATCCTTCTATTCAACCAACACTCTTTCTTCAGGTATTCCTCCATCACAGGGAATAACTTCTCCATCTAACTTACATATTCCATCCAACTAATGCTTCTCCAGCCCCAAGACATGAATGTAGTATGAGGCAGAGATGGGGGTAGCTCATAGGGTGCCAAATAAAGGATAGGACATCTGTCCTGAATCCTCACCTCCAACAAATGCAAAGATGAAGGAGGGCTGCTGATGTCTACCATGGTGATTGTCTTGGGGTTCTGTCTCCTCTACAGTCTGCTAGCCGAACTCCCAAGCTGTCCCGCCAGCCCTCCATAGAGCTGCCCAGCATGGCCGTAGCCAGTACCAAGACTCGTTGGGAAACAGGAGAGGTGCAGACTCAGTCTGCTTCCAAGGCACCCTCCTGCCAGGTAGGAGTCTTCCCCAGGCAGGCCAAACTGGGAAGACTGAGAATGGGAAGATAGCCAACATGGAGTGGGGGAATGGGTGTCCTTTGGAAAGCAAATCTGGGGTAGCCAAAGTGGAGTGTGGATGGTCAGGCTTCAGGGCTCAAGGAAAAATCCATCCTGTCCTGATAAACACGCAGTATGATTCTCCTTTCCTCCCTGTCAAAAGTGAGCTGGGTAGGTCCTCCACCTTCCAGCTAGGAAACACCAGGCAGAAGAAAAGGCCCCATCATGAGTATCTGTCCTGTGATAGAGCCTGTGTCTTCCCCCAGGATATAGTAGCTGGAGACATGAGCAAGAAAAGTCTATGGGAACAGAAAGGAGGCTCCAAGATCTCATCCACCATCAAGGTAGGTAGGGCTCTGTATGATAGGAACAAACTGAGTAATCAAAGATGGCTGCTACTGCCATCTCCAAAGACTTCTCAGAGTCAGTCTTTCCTTCCATAGCTTCTCCTTGACACTTAGTCTCACCTAACAGAGCACTCCATCTGGAAAGAGGTACAAGTTCGTGGCTACTGGACATGGGAAGTACGAGAAAGTGCTTGTGGATGAGGGCTCAGCACCATAGACCATGTATACATCCTGGTGAGTTGAAGGACCAGAGAATGACATGAGTCTTCCTGAGAACATGGGTGGGCCCTATCTCAGGTCTTGAAGGCTGAAGACTTGGCCTTAGAGTTGGCATATCTTCTGTCTGGCTACCAGTTGTCTTCAGCTCTCTGGAGCCTAGAACTTGGTCCCTTTAAGCAGTGTCATATTGGCCCAGTAATTGTCCATAGGAGACTCAAGCTCCATTTAAGAACTTCTGCTCTATCAGTAGGGTTCATCATCGTGTGAACCAGCACTGGAGAAGGCGGGTGTGGCACAGCTTCTAAGACTGTGGGTTATCCTATGTCCAGTAAAGGAGCTGAGACCTTGCCTTGACCCTCTACCCAACTGACGGCCCCTGAGAACTCTGCTGCTCTCCTCATCCTATTTAAGAACACGAAGTGATGTCCATGTAGCATACACACATTTATTGGTGGCTCCATCCATAACCATGATACCCATCACATCCCAGGAGGGGCTGCCAGCTTGACCCTTGCTGAATTTTGTTATGGTGGCCGGAATGGGAAGCCACTGCTGGCTCCTCTTCTGGATCTCTCCTCTCACAGCTGGCAATACTCTGGCAGATCTTAGGGGTTTCTCCAATGCCTGGCCCCTGCCTCTTTGTAGCCCTCTAGATCAACCTACCCGTACCCAACTATTGAAACTTGGCTGTGATTTTTCACTACACCATACATTCAGTGCAGTCTTACTCAGTAAGCCCTTGCTGTCAGGAAATCAGAAGGGACACACATGGAACCACAAAAAATCCTCCCTCCATTGCCCAGTCCTATGTACCGCTGAATGCCCCTCATCCAAGCCCTCTTACACTGGGACTAGACCCCCCCCACCATAGACCCTGGACCTGAAGTCAGGCTCCCACCATCCATGAACAGTCTCCAGTTCACATTCTCCACAACCCAAACCACCTCCAGCCACACGCTCCCAGCTTCATTCACTTGACTCACTTGCCATATCTGTTCCCATCAATTGATCTGTGTCTGTCCAATAGGCTCCTTTTAGCAGCTAGCACCCAGCTACCATGGTCATGCAACTTGCTGACCCATCTAGTTCACTTGTGAGGGCTAAGACTCTCTTCTCTGTATATTCAACCTCAGCCAGTCTCTGTCCACCACAGTCCAGAGTCCCAGAGGCTACTCTGGCTTCATCACTGGAGCCTCCAACCTGCTGCTGTCCGGTTGAAGTTCTTGGGCTGGGAATGCAATTCCACAATCGGGTGGAAGGTAGAAGTGGGCCGGGCCACCTCCTGTAGCTTCCGGGCATTGAAACGAGGTCGGCACAGAAAAGGCAGGTGGCTGAGGCAGGTCAGAGGGTGGCTCCTATCTCCAGGCCCCACAGGGTGGCCTCTATGGGACTCAGCCAGTGACATGCGGTACAACACTGCATCCCACATCCTGGAGGCTCGGGAGGCAGGGGGCTGTGGGCCCACAGGGGCTGGCATCTCTGGTTGCGTTGGCTCCAGGTTCGGCTCCAGCTCTGGAAATGCAGGCTCCTTTGCCTCCTCCATCAGCTGCTTCTTTAGACGTGTCCAGCCACTTAGGGAGGGCTTAGGTGTAACTTTGGGAACAGGGCATGGGTGGAGGTCTGAGGAGCCTGAGGCTCTGGGGAGGCTAGAAACATGTTTGGACTCCATGTCAGGCCTGGCTGTGGGTAGCTCCTCTAGATGTTCTGCTTCAGAAGCTGCAGAAGCTGGTTTATAAGGTGAGGCTCCAGGTGAGCGGTATGTAGGGGCTATGGGTACTACCACCCTAGCACCACTTTCTCTGTTCATTGAAGCCTGAAAGCTAGGTGCTGGCCTGGTTACAGGGGGCTCCTCCGGCCCAGGACTGACTGCCTGTACTCCAGCGGGCAGTGGGCGAATATGAGCCACTGGGATGAGAGACTGGGTGCTAGAAGTACACAGGCTTTTATCTCCATCCAGGGCCATTCTGGGGGACTCAGAAGTCCCAATATGTGAGGATGGTGACAGTCGGATATGCACTTGAGTGATGTGGGTACCACCCGCTGTAGGAGCAGATACATGGGCAAAGCCACTGCGGGGACAGGCATTTTCTGGGGCTGGAGCTTCAAGACTAGGAGGTGCCTTGAAATGTGTGGCCAGAGACCTTTGCTGGGGAAGGCTGAAAGAGAAAGTGGATTTCTGCAGGGGTGACGCCACGTGATGAATAACAGGGGTGTGCGGGAAGCGGGGTAAAGGGGCCACTGTGTGAGGGGCTTCAGCAGGACACAGGACTGTGGTTTCCAGGTCATGACTGGCCTCACTCACAGGGGACAGGGAGGTACGGAAAGCCCCAGGTGAGGTGGGGGTCGTGCCCACCATCTTCTTCCGAGCAGCTTTTCTCAGTAGCTTCTGAAGTCTCTGGTTGTCCTTTCCTGGTTTGGGCAGCAAGGGTGGTGGGGGCCCAGGGGAAGGCTCAGGTCTTGGGCCACCTGCTGCCGGGGGTATCGACACAACTGAAATGAGCATCCCTGGTCTGGGGTAGAAGGGAGAAACAGTGGTCAGATTGCCCTCCCTCCCCTGCCCACAGGGGAGGGAGGGGCTGAGTGTTTTCCTACTGTATGAGGAGATGGGAGAATGTGCAGACTCAGCTGCTAGAAGCCCCACTTCCTATGCTTCCAAAACTGCAGAGTACCTTCTAACCACAGTGCGTTAGTCACTGTGGGTGGCTTCACCACACCTTGGTGTGGAGGTGAACTTACAGTGGCTCCAGGACATGTGGTGAGTGACAATGGCTAGTATCTGCCTTCAAGGCTCTGTCCTCTAAGATGACCCAGCACAGAGCTGCCTCACCTTCCAGTGCCAGCTTGACCCCAGACTTAGAGTAGTGCAGGATAGGAACAGAGACCCACCGATGAACTGCAAGCAGACTGCCTGTGTCTGGCCAGCTGCCGGACAGTGGTGAAGGGCAGGCTGCCTGCAGACACGTGAGGGGCGCCATGCTGTCGCCAGCCTGACCACAGGCGGGTCCGTGTGCTTTGAGACAGTGGTGAAGGGTGGCAGCCAAAAGGCTCAAGCAAGCTGAGGCTGTATTCTTAGAGGTAGGTTGGCCGGAAGATGGGAGCAATTTTGCTGAGCTATACTAAATGGGATATCCCCACAGCCCTCCTGCTGAGGGTGGTCCTGGCCAAGCTGCCTATCTTGGTTTCTGGGCGCCACGTGTTTGCAAGGACATTGACAAATGGCATCTGGGCCAAGCTGGAGGCCATCTGGTTTGGGGTGGAAGGAGGCCTATGGCTGTTGCAGTAGGGGCTGGCCCTGCTGAAGCAGGAACAAACACTGGAAGGGGGCTGGAGGGGTCATCCCACACTTGCTCCCAGCTTCTGGGCTACCTCTAGGGAACTGGTACTTGAGAAATGGGACAACCCTGGGTTTTATTCAAGGAAGCTGCCTTAGTAGAGGTAGTCAGTATTCCCTCTTAAACCAGTCCAGGCCAAGAATACTGAGTTCACCCTGACAGCAGGTCTCCCAGGTGACTGACCACTGTAAGCAGGAGCTTTCCCCAGATAATAAGAAGGGGTATAGTAGGATCTGATGGCCACTAGGAAGGTAGGATTGTGGAGGGGGCAGGCCATGCCTCTCCCTCAACTCTAGCCTAATGGACCCCATACCCTTGCCTATGTTCCCAGGATAGACTCCAGCCAGATGCCACTCCCAGCCCTGACCAAGAAATTGCTTCCTGTTGCCCGTCTGGCCTGCTCTCGTGCCTCCAACAATCCAGCTGCCACTTGCCTCTCCTTTTGCTCCTGGATCCTCCAGCTTCTATGCCCTCTCATTCTCTGACCAAACCTCCAACTCTGCTTCTCACCATCAGCTAAAGTGACCATTCCCTAGAGGAGCCAAGGGCTCCCAAGGAAGGATGAAGGAGAGAAGGCATTCATCTCAACCAGATCCAAGGAGTAATTGTCCCTATGCTGAATGCTCTGGACTCTGAATCCTGCCCTGTTTGCAGATCCCTCATTTTGTATAATAAAGTGCATTGAATGCCCCCTATGCATTTGGATCTCCTATGCTCACTAATAGGGAACATGATGATCAAAACGGAAAGGACCACATCGGAAAGGGCCACATCTGTTGGCCACTTGAGGCTTGATCAGCTCTGTGGGAAACCACTCTGTCTTGTCCTTTGGCCTTGCAGTGTGTAATGCTCCAGGATCTGAGGTATGAGGTGAACCAAGCTGGGGCATCGATAATGGATGTGGCCTACTCCTCTTCCAGAACATGACACTTCAGTGACACTTCCTTGCCTGGACCAAAATAAATCCCATAGCACCTGAACAAGGATACTTTAGTCTGTTCCTGGTAGTGTCCACTAAGAACAAGTGATGCCACCAGGCATTCCCTATCTCACTCCACAGAGAGTACTCTCTGAAGGTGTAATGGTGAACAGATGGATGGAAAGATTGTTGGATGAATGGGCAGTTAGGTAGATGTGTAGCTAATGGGTGGATAGATGGATGGATGAGCAGATAGGTAAGTAGATAGATGAGAAGACAGATGGAGAGGTGGAAAGATGAATGATTGATTAGTTATTAGATGGATGGGTGGGTAGATGGTGAATGATAGATGGATACACAGGTGGGTGTTAGGATAGACAGGTGGATGGGTGAGTGGATTCATGGGTGGGCAAGTGGATTGATGGACAGATGAATAAATGGATAGATAAATGGATGGTAGGTGAGTGTGTAGGTGGAAGGACAGATAATTGATGGGTAGATGGAAGGATAGATGGATACATGAGTAGCTGGATGGGTGGATGAGGAGATGGATGGATGGATAGATGGAGAAGTGAATTGATAATGAGTGGGTAAATAGTGGCAGGTGGATGGGAATAGATAATGGGTGAGTGGATAGGTTGATGGGTAAGTAGTTGAATGGGAAGATGAGTGGATAGATGGATGGACAGATAGTGAGTATATGAGTAGATAGACAGTGAAAGGAGAGAAGAAATAGTGGCTGTGAGAGTTGATTGTGAGGATGAGCAAGCATATAAGGGCTGAACAAGTGAGTGAATGAAAGTTGGGCTGTAGAATGTACTCCTCAGGGGCACCCTCCCTTTGTCAGGCCTACCCCTAGGCCTGACTCTAAACCCTGTTGTCTCTAGAATCTGGAGCTTCTTGACTAACAGTGGTCTAACCTTGACTGTGACATCCACCTAGACACTCAGAATCTTGACTTTTTGAAAGCTTCAAACCCCACTGGTAGGAACACACAGCTCAGGAAGATTAAAGCTCAGCAGATACAGTTGCTGAAACAGACAGGTAGATGACCTTATCCCTCCTGCTCACAGCTCACCATGATAGAGCCTTTCTCTGCTCAACCAGGAGCTTCTCTCTAGACAAAGGACACTCCCTGCCCTTCCTACTCAAATGAGGTGGTAACCAAGAGCAGAAGGTAGAAACTGCTTCAAGGTCCATAATAGGATGGGGAACAAGTCTCTAGCATAGGGCCAAAATGGGCATGCCAAGTGACAGAGGGCAAAGTGTTTATTGCACCATGCTCCCATGACTTTCCCAGCCTCTCTCTTTGTGGCCTCAAGAGGAGAGAGCAAGGTGTGCCTTCTGAGTACAACTCACTAAATCTTACTTAGGCCTCAGATATGGAGTCTACCTTCTGCTGTAACATTGCCCTGCCAGCAACAACAGGACACTGCCCTTCTATCTTCCTGCCAGCCTCCTGAAAGGCCCAATAGCTGCTGCTTCTTCCTCCAGGCCCTGCTTAAAGTAAAGGCTCGCTTCACTTTAGGTTTCGGGAAGTACCCAAATACCTGTAGAGCCAATCAGTGTGTCTTTAGAACCAGGAGGCACTGTCATGCATGGGGACAGCTGCTGCCCAGATCACAGTGGCTGAGTCCCAAGTGCCATGTCAGCCAATCCTATCCTGGGCTTGGCAGAGCCAGCCACAGTAGGTCAAGTAGGGGCGTTGAGTGACGCTCAGGGTCCAGGGGCTCTTCCACTCCCATTCTGCTTAGCACCCAGATTGAATGGCCTTTGAAAAATCCCACTATTCTGGGAGTCACTCATATAGGCCACTGGAGTCAGGACACTTGAAGGACAGGCTCTTCTCAGTCTCCTCTGTCCTCCAGGCTCGGTCAAAGTCGGATATTCACTGACTTTGAGGGATCCCCCACAACTACTCTACAAAGACTCTGCCTCTCAGTCTCCTGGATAGAAATCTGTACCCTATCCAACAGACTTTGTCCTCCACCTCCACCAGGGGCTCCAGCCTTCTCCCAGATCCCTGGGGGAGCCTTTTGTCCTGTCTCCTTTCCCCACCAAGCCCCAGCCAGGCCAAGTAGGACCTGTTGTGTATTACCTTGCATGTGTTACCTGCTCAAGTCTTTGGTGGCCGGCAGCAGCTGGTCCAGCAATGCCCACTCTATGCTGTCCTGCTGTACCTTGGGCCTGATCCCCCGAGGAGGAGGTGACTGTTACTCAAAATAAGACCTGCCTGGTCTCTCTGACCTCACTGAAAGCGTATGCCAAAGGCTTCTGAAGTGGGTAGCCACTCTCCCCTGCTGGCCATGAGGAGCCACTACAGAGACTGCAGCATACCCACCTACAGACCTCTAAGGACCCCCATTCCTCTCAGACAAGAGTTTCTGAATTCAGGTGTTCAACAACCATATACTGGACAAAATCCCCCATTTCTGCTCTCTGTGTTCTTCAGCTAAGTGATGTGCTTGGTCTCCGTAAAGCCAGATGAGAACAGAGGCTGACCTAACCACAGAAGAAATTTAGAATCCCTTTGGCACTAGTGTGGGGCTTCATAAACTCTACATGACCCTCAAGGCCGGATTGAGCTGGGCATCCACAATACTTAGAGCTCACTGAAACCTATCTATCCAATGGCGTGGATGGGTATGGAGGGAAGCATAGGCTCTGGCCAGGAAGGTTGAGGTGGCCCAGCAACTCCAGGGCCTCTAAGGGACAGGTGCTTAGAGCAGAGGAGAGCAGGAGAGAAGCTCTGTTCTATGAGCCAGCAGGATAGAAGACTGGCCCCACTGCTTTTGACCACAAGCTGGATCTTGTATATCTCTGGCGTTCTATGGCCCTGTCTCTAACATGTAGGAGGTGGGTGGTGGGTCAATCCAAACCTTCCAGAAACTCTTACTATTCAGCTGAGACTGGGATACTGTGAGCCTCCTGCTGGTCATCCTGATGTCTATTACCTTAGGATGCAAAAGGACCAGAGGCCTGCCTGTGCTCCTTAGGATTCGTCTACCGTTACTTTACACTTCACGTTGGCTTTGACCCTAAACTGAACAGATCCGTGGACCCCAGCAGCCACACCCAACCCATGGGGCCTAGGAGGCTTAAGAGAGTGAATGGCAAATGCTGGGTTGGTCTCTTGCTACTTGATGCTTCAGTTTCCCTAGAGACTATCCAGGCACACAAGGCCCAGGAGAGGTGTCCATGGTTGGATGGTGCCCCCTGGAGTCTTGAGGAAAAAAAGACCAGGCACATGGCCAGGTCTGCTCATGGCCAGGTCTGCTCAGCAGGGCCCATGTCCCTAGACAGAGATATGACCTCCAGGTCCACTGGGTTAGTATGGAGCCCCCAGACCAATAATGGGCCCAAACATTGCTCAGCTTTCCCCAGTCACTGAAGAAGATGAACAACCATGGGCAAGGAGTAGGTCATCATTTCTCCTATCTTTTCATGCAATGTGTTCCAGTGATGTCTACCTGAAAAATAGGCCTGGCCTCTAGGGGGTTATGTGTGGCATTGGCCAGGGACTCAGGGTTCTTCATTTGGTGGGTATCTTGAGCTGTCTCTATGATGGAGAAGTAGGGCAGAGCTGCAGGGGGTGCCACATAAAGTTAGATACATATGTTGAACAAAGTACCCACTCCTACAAGCCACCTTGGGCAGAGGAATAGGGGACCAAAACCCAGAACTCAAAACCCAGGCTCTGGTGGCCCTTCTCCAACAGCCTGACTCAAGAACACCCTTGATCTAGACCTAATCCTTTCCTCCTCTCTCCCTCAGCTCATCAAGCATGTGCCCATCGCTGAGGGGGAGGGTAAGTAAAAATAGCAGCTGACACCTTCTGGAACAGTTGGGGACCTTGCCTCCTCCTCTAGGCATGTCTCCGCCATCCTTGCCTCCTTAGGCCTCCTCCTCTAGGGCATTCCTATACTTGGTCAGGGGCCTGCCTGGGCACACCCTCCCCCTTCCCATGCCCCATGCCCTAACCACCCATCTGCTGGCCAATGGGCTGCCAGAGAAGATCAGATGTCACTATAACATGAAGGGGTGAGGCTGTTGGACAGTGCCTGCTTCTGGTCCTGTCCACAAGAAGCCCCCAGCCTTTCTCAGACTCAACTGCAGGTGGGTATAGATGTGAACAGCCTGGCTAGGAGTGGGTGACTAGTCAGGGCTTGGCTGCCTAGCATCTAAGGGGAATTCAATGGGTCCTGTGCCTCTTGCTGTGTTATATATTGGTGACTAGAAGCATGGTACTTCTAGTCACCTTGGGATGACATAGAAAACCTGGCTCTAAACCAGAATAGAAAGGCACGGAAGCAGGAAGGAGCGGGGCTCCTGGGTGACTCAGGACTAAAGAGCCCTCCTAAGGCAGGATCTAGGAAGAAGGGCAGAGTGTGAGATAAGGATCAAGTCAGGAGACATTGTCCAGAGCGCTGAGGGCTGCCTGCAGCTGCTTGACTGGCAGCCGGCTGGAGCCCCTGTGGAGGCTCTGAAAGAATGACCTTAGAGAAAGAATGTGATTTCAACTCATCCCTGGCGCCCAAGGATCTGTGTCCTAAGCTAAGCTGTTTTGCTATTTTGCAGTTGTGGGCTTATCTCAGAGCACCCTAGGTAGAAGCTCTAGGGAGAGCTATCTGTGAACCCCTGGGGCAGAGTCCTAAGGTTCAGGTGAAGATAAACTGGAGCCAGGCTGACTCAGGAGAGAGGTAATGAAAGGGACCTGGGCTGGGCAGGAAGCTCATATCTGATCTTCCTTGTGGCTGAGAAAAGAGGTGGTCCCTAGCCCTTCAGGCTCCCGCCTTTGTTCAGTCTCCAGGCTTGGATTCCTAACTTCCTGAGTGAGCTTTCTAGATGTCCTTGAGAATCCTTGGAGATGGGACCTGGCAAGGTTGGTCAGAGGAGACTAGGCCCAAAACAGGAAGTGATAAGGGTCCCATAGCAAGTGAATGGCAGGGCCCCTTGCCCTTTTTTGGGCTTTGTCACCTTTGAAGGAGGGGAGTTTGTCATGGATCCCCAAGGAAACTGACCTCACAGGCTATTTTCATGAGCCCTCTTCTAAGGCCAGAACCCTCTACAGAACAACTGTTTTCGCTCTTCGTTGTTTATTGGTCATCCCTGTCCCATCCCTGACACCCTACCTCTGCCTCTCCCCAATTTATAGGGATGTTGAAATCTGGGTGGAAAGGCACAGATATGCTCAGGTGTGCCTTCAGGACCTCTATAGAAGACCAGGAACCTCAGTTTCTCAACCTCAAACAAGGGCATTGCTACCTCACTTTGGAAGTAGCAAGGCTACTTGCTGGATGGATGCCTGTAGGAGACAGGAGGGGAGCCAAGATGGCTGAGTTGTTCTCAGTACCCTGCCCCCTGCCATCTTGGGTTTCAGGACAGAGGAGTCTTGCTAATTTTGATGCCTATTTTTGGACACTTCAGCTGCCACTGGCTCCTTATAAACACACGACACTCTCCCCACACCCCCCCTACTGCTGGCACAACACCCACCCACACACACACACACACACACTGCCCCCTCCCTCTATTGCTGACAGGTGTGTGGGTCCAGTGGAAACCAGAGGTGGCAAAGCAGATGGGGCCTCAGCTTAACTGCTCCACCCCACCAGCCTTCCCAGAGTGCTCTTGTTGGAGCGGGGAGTGCAGAAGACAGTAAAGAAGGCAGTTAGAAGGACTGGTAGGAATCAGAGCAGAGTAAGAAGATGGGGCAACTCTGGCTGGGTGGCTTACTTATGGTTGGTGAAGTCTACACAGGGGCTCTGGGATGAGGCAGTGCTGAGCCTGGTGTTTGGCCACAGGGCCTCCCAGGTATCTGTGGGTTAATTTTGCAGGAAGTTTCCGTTGTTCTGGGAAAGCTAATGTTATCAACAGGGCTTAGAAACAGCCCCCATCTTAGCATCAAGCTGCTGGTGCATTTTTAGCCCCTGAACAACAGTTTTCTTATATGTGCTCCCTGGGGACAGCAGAGCTATTGTCTCCAAGTCAGCTGTGTTGTGTTTTTATGACCTTTGTTTGTCAAACCCTGAGTCAACATTCTGATACAGTTCTTTGAAGGTTCCCAGGCCCCAGACACTGTAGGCATGTACAATGACCAGTTCACAGGAACCAAGTTCTCTCTCACTGTAGCCACCATGCCTGAGCCTGTGTACCCAGTCCCAGACGTAATGCTAAGAGATCTGAGGCTCTGTTAGCTCAATCCGTTCAGCACATGGGTGTCAAGCGAAGGCTTCCCACAGAGAAGTTCTCAGACCCACCCTGGTGAGTTCAGTCTCCATGGATTTCACAGGAATGGAGACAAAGAGACTGAATGTTTATGGGCTCTGTAATTTGAAAGAGTACCTCAAGAGGATTTCAGAGAACTCGAAAAGAGGACCTGGGGTAACCCAAAAGGAGCTTGGACTCCCAAGGAAAACATGAGGCACAGTAGAAAGTTTGAGCTCACCCAGGGAAGAAGAGCTGGCAGACTGAGAATATCTGTACCCTTAAAGCTGGGGTCAGCCATTTTAGGGTGGTTCCCTAGCCAGAGGCCATCAATTCAGACAAGCAAGGATGTCCCCAGATCCAGAGGGCCCTGAAGCTCTTACTCACAATCTGTGCATGTCTCTGCATTTGGAGAGAGAACATCTATCCAGGGTGGAATGTATATGACAACCTTCCAACAGCCAATCAGTTATGGAGTCTGAGTTCCAGGCTGGAGCCAGGAAAGGAAGAAGGGGGATCAGAGTCATGGGGAGAAAGGCCAGTCAGGGGGATCAAAAGGTAGCCCTCAATTACAGTCTATGCATATCCTCTCTAGGATCCAATCTCTGAGAGCCCACTCTTGTGAGGCTTCTAAACCAAGGCAATTCCTAACTGTCCCTTCTGTTGATGTTCCCTCTCTAGACACAACCAACCGCCACTATGTCTGACGAGGAAACGTGAGTACCCTGCTGTATGGTCACATCCCTTGCTGGTGGGATGGGACCCCTGGCACCTACAGACATCTGCCTCAAGTCAGTAGTTCAAGCTCACCTCTCTCTCTCTCTCTCTCTCTCTCTCTCTCTCTCTCTCTCTCTCTCCACCACTACTCCCACCACCATGACAGTGAACAAGTTGAGGGTAAGTATCTTTTCTATTTTCTCTCTATATACTTCTATCTCTAGACAGAAGAATCACTCTTGGTGTGGGGAGGAGAACTTTGACTATGGACAGCATTCGTCCCTTGGGGACCCATTGCCCCATTGCCCAAGAGTCCCTGACCAGCTAGGTCAGTCATTGAGCTTCAAAGACATCCATCTCCCAAATTATCTTCAATCTCTGGCTTACTTTTTTTTTTCCTGTAGTGCTCACACCTTGACCTGTCCCAATCCTGTATACCTGCATGTCTGTGAAGCCCTGAGAACTTGTAGGCAGCTTCTCTGTCCTTGTCACCTTTGGTCACTCACATGGCCATAGTAGGACATGAAATCTAGAGACATCCAATGTCTCCCTTGAGGCTGAGTATTTTCCCCTCTAAGGCCACAAAGCCTCTGTGTTCGTGTGTGCTCACATGTTCATGCGTGCATGTGTGCAAATGTGTTTTCAGATGTGTTCATATGTGTGGGCCAGAGGTCAACCTTGGATGTCATTTTCAGGAGCTGTCTACCTTGCTTTTTGAGATGGGGGGGGGTCTCTCACTGAACCTGAAGTTTGATGATAGCCTAGACTGGCTGGTCAGCAAGCCCCTCAGGGTCCTCCTGTCTCCGCCTCCTCAGCACTGGGAATGAGAGTGTGTAAACCACACTTGGCTTTTTATTTGAATCCTGGGATCTGACTCAGGTCCTCGTGCTTATATGGCAAGCACTTTGCTGACTGACCGTCTCCCCAAGCTACCACAAAGCATCTCTGGGCTGAAGATCCCAGAGCTAATCCCTAGCTAGTAGAAGTACAGGCTGTCTAAGGACAGAGCGGGCTGATGTGTCCTTCAAATGCCTCACCCCCTCTAGTCCTATCTCTGCTAACTCGGCTCCTCTCTTTTGTTCTATTCTAATGCAGAACAATACGAAGAGGAAGGTAACTCAGGAAGCCAGAGGCCTCTCAATGCCCATCCTTGGGAAGGCCTTGGGGCAATCCTCCTTGAGCTGACAGTGAACTGTCTACTCCTTTCCTCATGAATGCACTATTAACCATCATCACTTGTCATTAACTGTTAGTGATTAATAATACCATTATTTAATTAATGGTCAATGGCTTGATCATTAATTAAACCATTAATCCTCTATCTCTTTGATGGATTAATAGACACTCATTAACCACGCACACATGCCCTGTGGTCACTGTGTCCATGGTGTGTGAAGTGGAGTGTGTTTCTGGCCATTAAAACTCATTCATTAATAACAAGGGTCTTGACCTCACACAATGTAACCCCTCAGAGCCACTGTAGCTTCTCTTTTAGTCTCCTTCTCTGTCTCTCCAGCGTTTTCTCTATCTTTCTTTGCCTCTGTCTCTATGTGTCTCTGTCTCTATCTCTGCCTTTCTCTATCCCTGTCTCTTTATCTCTGTCTCTTTTTGTCGCTGTCATCTTTCTCCATTTCTCTGTCTCTGTCCTTATCCTTTTTTCTCTCTGCTTCTCTTAGCATCTCTCCTTCACTGTACCCTTGGGCCGCTGGAGACCCCTCCCTGGCTCTGTCGTGCCTGGGCAGGTGTGGGCGGGCAAAATGTTGAGTCTTGGTGCACCTGGGAGCAGCCCAGCACAGCGGTTCCCAGGCCTGACAAGCTGTCTGCTCCTGGCACCTGCTCAGCTTAGGGAGACTTCATGCAACTCACCAGACAGGCCATCCTGCAAAGGCTGCTGGGTGCTGTGTTTTCAAAATATTTTGAAAATACCTGCTACCTTAACAACCTGAGCAAACATCTTACTGTCAGAAGATGGAAAGGCTGATTTGTGAGTGAGATGTGGCCCTGGGGCTGCCCTTCTCTAAGGTTAGCTCTAAGGGTCTTGTTTTCTCAAAGCCTCTTGACCTATCTTCATTCTTGGCAGCTAGATGGGACCTCCTAGGTCAGAAATGGTTAAACACATGAACTTACCCTGATCCTCACCTGCATACCCTATAGAACAGAATTATAAACACCCAGACATGGGACATAGGGTGTAGAGGGCCAGGCCTGAGGAAGGTACAAATTCAGTACCCCAGCAAGGACATAGGTGGCTGATGCCTGAGGATCCCTGTTCGCTGTAGCTAACTGCTGTGGGCCAAGCATGGGAATCTGACCTGCTCGTGCTTGGTCCAAGAGAACCCAGGAAAGCTCCTATTTCTAATGTCTGTCTCCTTGTTCATTCTCTTCCCTACATGCCATCTCTCTATCACCTTTGCTCACCCTCAGAGGAGGCCCAGGAGGAAGGTGAGTTGCCTTAGGACTTGAACCCCACTTGCCCTTGCCCTCTAATGGTGAATTTGGTGTAACCTTCCCTCTTATAGGGCTGTGACCTCAGCCCCTGTCTCTAAGGGCCTGCTGTGTGCTCCTTTCTAATCCTATCCTCTCTCCTCCCTGCCACCCTGCACTCCCTGGCATTCCTCGGCCGCAGAAGTCCAGGAGGAAGGTATGAGGATACAGGACTTCTGGTCCCCATGTGGAGCTCAGGGTCTGGCTGGAGCCATGTGGTGTGGGGAAGAGGGCAGGAAAGCAAGGTGGCGCCAGCCAACCACAGGGCCCCCCATGTGGCCCCACATAACCCACTAATCATGGCCAACGCTTGACCAAAGAGAATGAGAACTCCAAGAATACCTGCAAGAATCCCTTCACAGCTGCTCTAAATTTTGCCAGATGTTTCCAATACTAGAGAGGGCAGCCTAATACAGGAGTTGTGAGGGAGACTATAGAGCCAGGTATGGGTTAAGTCTCCTTCTCCAGTCAGTGAAAGCCCATGGTGATGACCAAGACCTTTGCTAGGCCAGATCCACTGAGCCAAATGTCCAAAGAGCTCAGGTCATTATGGAGAGATGCAGGACTAGTCAGAGGCCCTGCTTCAGACCAAGGCCTCCTCCCTAGTCAGTTTCCCTAGCCAGTTGTACTCCCCATCAAGCCAATCACAGGCCCCATCTCAACCCTCTTTAAGGGTTATAGCATGCAGAGGACCAAGGAAAGGGCTTTAGCACCTCCCTTTGGGGTGGCAAGAAAAGAAGTATTTGGAATGGATTTTGCTCCCCTTGGGTACTAGAGCCTCCAAGTAGGCTTCAACTCTAGACTGGGCCCCAGCAGAGGGCAAACAGGAGATGGGCAGATGAGGGAAGGAACCAAAGCAAGAGCCAGAGTCCCAACCCTCAACTCAGTTTCCCAACTTGTGAGGCAAAACACACTGGGGGTGAGTTTGGTTCTCTTCAACTCCTCTTATTCCCAAGTTCTGAATGGGGACCCAGAATCTGGGCTGTGGGATTGAGGGTGTCGTGACCCCAGCTAACTCTAACAGTATCTTGCTCGCTTCCTGCACGTATCCCACCCCTCGGTGACCGGCTGTTTCCTTTTAACCTGGATCCCTTCTCTGACCTCTGACCCGTGGTTTTGCCTCTTGTTCCGTGGCCCTCCTTAGCCCCCGAACCAGGTATGTGACGTGACTTCAATGCCACATGACATATGTGTCCATGTGTGGGTGTGTGCAGGAGCCAGCCAAAAAGGAACAAGAGGGTGCCATGTAACTTACCCATCTCTACTACACACCTGTGTGTCCCTCTCCCCCTCTCCCACACTGCCTTCCATTCATTCATTCTCTCTCCTCCCTCCCTTTCTCCTTCCCTGGTGCTGCTCCACAGAGGAAGTCCAAGAAGGTAGGTCCAGGTTCACCTCACAGTCACAGCCTTCCCCTCCTCCCTCACCCCTCTCTGATTAACTGTCTCTCACTCCCTTTCCAATGTACCCACTACCAACTAAGCCCTGCTGGTCTCTGGGCTAAGGACAGTACAGAATAGGGAAGCTAGCCTGATCTCCTGGCCTAGGTGGCTGACAGTGGCAGTCCCCAGTCACAGTGTTTAAGGGCAAGGAACAAGGCTTCTCCGCTTCTATCAGGAAAATTAAATGGGACATATGGGCTGTCCTGGGTCTTCAGAGCCAGTCTTAGGAAGATGATGCTGGAGAACCATGGAAACCCTCTGTGGCTTCATCAGGATATGTAGAGCAAAGCAAAGAGTCTGGATAGGTAGCCTCCAACCTACCCCAGATATCAAGTCAGAGGGAGGAAAGTAAGGAGGGGTGAGTCTGAAGGGAGGGTAGAGGGGCAAGTGGGGTGAAGCAGAGAGTCAGGCTGAGGCCCAAGGTGGGGATGTCAGAGACCTGGAACAGCCAGGGGCCATGCATGCGAACAGGCAATCAGTCAGATCCCAGCATCCCATCCAGCGCCTGGGCCTGAGCCAGACACACCCGTCAAGCAGAATTGACAGGGTTGGGGGATGGGGACTGTCAGCTTAGCAGCAGGGCTGGTTACACTGGGGAAGGGAGGAGGGGCTGGACTCAGGGAACCCATTTCAGCCCCTCCATTTACATGCTGGCAGACTCCTGGTGGCTGGGCCTGGAAGGAAGCACCTGGATAAGAACATGCTAGGAAAGGGACCCAGGGATGTTTTCAGGCCACACATCTTAGGTTGCCAGGCCTCCCTGGGACCAGAACTGAGATTTACTGGCAGACAGATAGACAGACAGAAGGGTGGGGAGACAAAGCACAGGGCAGGATGCCTTACCTTGCCATTATGCAGCTGCCTCTCATACAACTCTTGGGAGCACCCCATCCTTCCCTGTCCCCAGAATGTCATAAGGGTAAGGTGAGCCTATCAGCCCCTTCACTTCCTCCCCAGGCCACTCCCATGGACCTCATGCAAGCAAAGGCTTTGCAGCTTCCCACTGCTCCCTAGACGCTACTCCTGAGATGTTAGGCAAGATTGGTATCAGGCTCTCCTGTAGCTCTAAGCTGCCTACTCAGACAGTGCTGCCACATGCTTTGGTTGTTAAGTAGCCATATGTCTTCCAGAGGGGTGAGAAATAGGTATTCCAGAAGGGCACTGGTCAGAACATACAGCAAGACCCCCACCCACACTGTGGATGGGGCTTGTTGGCTACTAGCCAAGTGCAAACGTACTGGGAGTCCCAGATGCTTCCCTGTCAGGTCTCACTGTGTTCCAGGCAAACAGAATGCACGCATGTCAGCAGCCTTGCTTCTTGCTAAAGCCAGAGCAGGGCTAAAGGACAGTGCAAGGAAGGCTGACGGTGAGCAGCTGCGGTCAATACCAGTCCCAACCTCTGCTGGAGTGGGTCACATTCAGAGGAAGCAGCCTTTCCTCAGGACAACCGGCCTAGCAAGGCTCTAAAGGAAGGGAAGAAGAGAGGCCCCACCAAGACACATGGGAAAAAGCCTCTCAGGGGTCAGAGGGCAGGTTCCCAGGATCAGGAGGCCCTGTCCTAGGGTTGAACCTGTCAAAGCTCACAGATACGGATGAGCCAAAAAAAAGTTTTGGATTCCAGGCAGGCTCTATGAACAAAGACTTTTACAAAGAGTTTGAAATAAAGTGACTGTAAAAAACTACAGTATGTGCCCAGGTACAAGACTAGGTGGTAGAAGGCAATGGAAGGTTCCATGACAGCTGGAAGGTAGAGAACAGCCTCAGGATCTTCCCAGTGAGAAACCTAGCTCCAGTCCCCATGCTTTCTCCTCACAGCCAAGCCTTCTTGGCCAGCATGCATAAAGCCCTGGGTTCAATTACCAGTACTGCATAAACCAGCTGTGGCAGAACATACCTACCATCACAGCATTTGGGAGGCGGAGGCAGGAGGATAAAGTTCAAAGGCATCCTTAGCTATATTGAGCATTAGAGGCCAGCCTGTACAGCAAGTGTCCATGAATGGGATGAAACCTATGGGGCGGTGTAGGAGCTGCCCTGCCACTCTCAGGCACGGGGCTCTGTTCGTGCCTGCCTCTGCTGTTCTGTGTGGCCACCGCTGCTGTGTGGCCTCTGCACTTCTGCAGCTGCGTGGCTTTTTTCTTGCATGTGCGCTTGCGCCCACACCACGAAGATGCTGTCGCTGAGGAGGAACGGGAAGAGGATGAGGAAGGTAAGGCCTGCCAGCCGCTGTTGCAGCCCCCTGCTCCACTTGCACAGGCCTCTGGCAAGAAGAACCAATAGTTCAGTGTCTATGTTGTTACTCTCCAGCCCTTTCACTCTGTCTGTCTATGTCTGTCTGTCTTCCTTTTCTCCCTGGCACAGGACCTCTGTGACAAGATGCTAACTAAGGCTTTATGTGCATCCACCATAGAGTTAGGGGGCTAAGGCCAGGCTTCTGCCACTTAGAAGCAGGTGGTTGGTCAGTAGAGACAAGCCAGCATCCCAGATGTTACCCAGACTTTCTAGAAATCTGTCCTCCAGACCCCTTGTCTTCCTACCTTCCCTCACTCCCAGCCCTCTAGGGTCATGTATGTCTTCTGTGGTTTTTCCTTTTCTTGCCTTCACACCCACACCCTAAGTCCTTCTTAGAGCCCCTGGGGAATTTCATAGGCATCATGCTTCTGAGAAGGAGGGTGGCCTGGGTAGGCTGAGTAGAAGTTCCCAGCCTAAGGCAGGAAGCTCCATCCTATCTTACCTGATCTCTTTTTTTTCCTCTTCCCATCCTGGCTGTCATGAGTAGAGGAGAAACCAAGACCCAAGTAAGTGTGGGATCCAGGCAGAGCTATGGGGAAAGGCTAGAACAGGGTGGGTTGGGAAGCCCAGCCTGTTTTAGAAGAAAAATTCAAATGGCAGAGGATACTAGGGACTGTAATTGCCAGTAGAAATGAATAGAAAGACAGTTGGTTGTGCTTCTTTCCCATCAGCCAGGAGGAGGCCACTGGCCACAGACCGAAGCTCAGGATTGAGACTGAAGGCACCATGTGTCTGCCGTGCCTTAGTATGCTGAGAGGCTGCCCAGGTCTCCAGATAGATGTATTTTTTAAAAAATGGGCTGGAGAGGTGAGGCTCTCCCAGTTGAGATGAGATCCCACTCTGGATGAACCTGGTCCGAAAGAGCAAACTACTCAGGGGCTGAGCCCGCGTGAGCCACTCTGCAGAGTGCTTACTCTGGCTCACTTACATGTGAGTGCACCAGAAAGTAGACAGATCCACAGCCTTCCATGTACCACTCCTTCTGGTCTCTTTGAACCTCTCTGCTGGTCCCCCACTCTGAACCAGGATGAACTTTTGGCACTTGCCCCTCATTCCCTCCCCATCCTCCAAAGAAGAACGGAGCTAGGTGAAGCATGTGGCTGGTCCACACTCCTCCCTTGAATGCTGTTTTAAATCAAGTTCACATAAAGTAATGCAGGATTCTGAGATAGTTTCTCATCTTAGAAAAATTATTTATGTTCTCAATATGAAAATAAAACACCTCATTAAGAAAATTTGGAAAATACATAAAAGTCAAATGAAGGGGAAAAAAATCCATCCATAATTCTCCCACTCACTCACCAGCCAGACTGTGGAAAGGACCAGGGAGGGGAAAAAAGATCTTTATTTCTTCCTGTTCTTTTTCTACATGAAGTTCTTGGAAAATAAAGATCTTGACTATGTTTTTTCAAGCATGAGACTGTCTATAGAGCCTTGAATTCTGCTTTTAAAAAAATTTAGCACTATTCATAAGTATTTTTCCATGTTTTTACATAGTCTTCTTAAATATTTTGAATGGCCACATAATATTCCATCAATTGGACAAACCATAATTTTCCTAACCATTCCCCGATCACAGGCTTTCCCCAATATTTTACAATCATAAATAACGCTGGACAGAAATCATTTTCCATCTTGAGGGCTATTTGCCTAGGCCACATTCCCAGAACTGGAATTACTGGGTCAAAGAAGACCAGTGCTCTGAAGACTTTGACACTCCCTGCCAAGTTGCTTTCCACCAGGGCCCAGCCAAGGCGGTCTCCTACGTGGGCTGTGAGCAGTCTTGTGTCCCACACCCTCCGCGCCCAAAGGCGGGAACGGGCGTCTGCCCCTCACCCGTTGATGAACAGCCAACCGCATCTCATGGTTGTTTGTCTTAGCATTCCTCTGATGGCACCACCACTAACCGTCCATGTTTGTTAACTGGTCGTCTTTCTTTGCAAGTCAGTGGCTTGTGCCCCTTGCTCGTTTATCTCATGGCCGACACGTCTCCGTGTTTGCTTAATCGTCCGTTTACTCAGGGATATAAATCTTCTCTGTATTTGCTGAAAAGGTTTTTCTTTCGGTCTGGTTTTTTTCCCCCTCTGTGCTTCAATTTTTGCTCTTTTTTTTCCCCCCACATACATAAGTTTTTCATTTGCACAACATCATCTGTACAGCTTTCCCTTGGAGGGAACTTTGGGGCTTCAGAGCTTAGAAAAAAATCCCTTCCCTCTCCAGGTTTTGATCGCTATTCAGCTCCCCTTTCTTCTGTGGCCTGCTTCTAAAAGCCGCGGTTGTCTGGGCTCCCTGCTCCATCTGGAATGTGTTGGCAGGAGGAGGGGTCGCTTGGCCAGCGGGCTGGGGGCTCCTTTTCCCCTTACAGGCTCTCGTTCATTTGCTCAGAAAGAAAGATTAAAAGTGTCCAGAGCCACAGGACAGGTCTCGCCCCAAAACTAATGCCAGTCACTGCCCCTGGAGGGCCTGTGATAGCCACCCTGCCTTCTGCTAGGAGCTGGCTATATTTGTTTATGTGTCTGAGAAAGGTGTCATGAAGCAGTGAGCAAAACAGAGGTGGACAAAAACAGGGTGATACCTTCTAGGAAGAGACAAACTACTCCTGGGTACATGGGTTAGAAACCCAAGGACAAAGAGCCAAGCAAAGCTGCTCTAGTTGAGACATACATGCTCTGTTGGGTGCCAGGGTGCAAGAAAGAGAAGGAGGGCCAGCCTAGATTTGAGGCTGGCTGGGCTCCTCTGTGGGATGGTCCCAGTTGTCCCTGCTTATGAAACAACTTCTGTGTCTCCTCCCCAGACTTACTGCTCCTAAGATCCCAGAAGGGGAAAAAGTAGACTTCGATGTAAGTTTATGGGGCCCAGATCACCCTCGTCCCAAACTCTAGCCTTTGAACTTTAGGTCATGTCTTCTCAAGCAGCCAGACTCAAAGCAGCCTAACTCTAGGCTACACTCTCCTAATTCACTCCTAGACCCCAGGAAGTCAACATCCCTTCCCAATCCCTCCATACATTCTTGTACCCACAAATCCATCCACTCATCCACCCGTCCCTTCTCTCAGTTGTCTCTCCTTTAGCCACCGGTTCATCTGTCCATTTGTTTGTTCAAGGATTCATCCATGTATGCAGCAAATTAATCTCATGGTTTCCTCTTTGCCAGACCCAAGAGGCTATCTCTGAGGATGACAGAGCCAAGTCTGAGCCAGGTCACCTCAAAAATGGTGCTGGCTTCATGATTAGCCAGGGCCTAGATTCCCCCATGGAAAATATCTTGACCCTGTGGTCAAGGCCACACTGAGCCTCAGGAAGGCAACAGCTGTAGGGACCTGGCAAAAGGTATCCCTAGCTGGAGGTGGGTCCCAGGCTAGCAAGAAGGGGTAGAAACTTTTCTCTTGCCCTCCAGGATATCCAGAAGAAGCGTCAGAACAAGGACCTCATGGAGCTCCAGGCCCTCATTGACAGCCACTTTGAAGCTAGAAAGAAAGAAGAAGAGGAGCTAATTGCACTTAAAGAGAGAATTGTGAGTACTGCTGCCCTGGGGGGCTGCTGGACACTCTACAGGAACTGGGCATGACAGGGAAGGGCTGACCAGTTTACCCTCGGTTGCAGGAGAAGCGCCGTGCAGAGAGGGCTGAGCAGCAGAGGATTCGCGCTGAGAAGGAGCGAGAACGCCAGAACAGACTGGCGGTAAAGACTATGTCATCCTGCAGCCTTCAAGCCTATGTAGCCAGAGTTTTAGACCTTTAGTACAGGGTTTTAGACCTTCCTTTTACTGTGGCCCTCTGTTAGGCCCACCCAACAATCAGAGCTACCAGGTTAATATTTCTTGCTCTACAGAAACCCTGAAAAAGAGCAGCTTCCTTCTAGGAGGTTCTAAGCCCAAAGCTAGTCTTTGAAGCCTACTCAAAGGACAGCTCCTGAGGATGTTGGGTGGGGGGTATCTCCACAGGAGGAGAAGGCCAGAAGAGAGGAGGAGGATGCCAAGAGGAGAGCCGAAGATGACATGAAGAAGAAAAAGGCTCTGTCCTCCATGGGTGCCAACTACAGCAGCTACCTGGCCAAGGTAAGAAAAATGCTCAGGACCCTGAAGGATGGCCTTCAAGTAGGGCTGCTGTCTGTCCCACGTACCTTTCTGAGACTGGGCCCTTCGTCCTCTTTCCCTTCCCCAGGCTGACCAGAAGAGAGGCAAGAAACAGACAGCCCGGGAAATGAAAAAGAAGATTCTCGCAGAAAGGCGCAAACCTCTGAACATCGACCATCTTAGTGATGACAAGCTGAGGTGGGGGGGGGGGGCTTCCTAAATGGTGCTGAGCCTTTCTCCCCAGAGAATTAAGTCATAGCTCTCTGTGGTTCTGGAGGAAGAAGCAAGGTCCTGGCACCTTGCCTTTCTAGCTTCACCCCATCAAACTTCCTCTTTTCCCTCTTTTCCATCTTCCAGGGACAAAGCCAAAGAACTCTGGGATACCTTGTACCAACTGGAAACTGACAAATTCGAGTTTGGGGAGAAGCTGAAACGTCAGAAATATGATGTGAGTCCAGGCATCTCTGGCTCTTGGGCCTGCAGAGGCTTATTCTCTAGGGGAGATCAATTTTCTCCCTACATCCCAGTCATACGCTGGTTCTGCCTTCACCTTGAGACCTGGCTCTACTAAGCCCAGCTGGGGCCACTGCTGGAGACGGTCCTTCAGGGCAGGTACCTGATCCATCAGCCTAGGCCCTGCATCTGAATTGGCCAGCGCTGTAGCTCAACTGTTATGTGTTCTCAAACTGTTGAGGTCCCCATGACATCTGGCTCTTCAGGGAAGGCAAGCATATAGCCAAGGTGACTCATACATTCATCTGAAACTGAGAAGAGAGTTCAGTACTGTGTCTCTTGGGGGCTGGGAGGAGGATCAGGGCATCTAGAATGAGGTTGCAACCTTCATAGTTATTAAGGGCAAGGTAAGGGGCTGTAGAAACGGGGCAGGGCCTTCCTTGGGGGGATGAGGTAGAAGCAAGCTTATTCCTACACACTATGGATACAGGGAAGGGCACCTGTCCTGGTCCCTAGTGTGCTTAGGGCAAATGCAAACAACCTGGGTTCACTGGTAAATCAGTGTTATCCTTCCCTCCTGTCCCTCCAGTGCCCAGTGAGGGGAGAAGTAGGAACTCATACATGGGCATCTTCCACAGCCATCAAGATAGATAATCCTGGCTCCTTCTTCCAGCCTCTGGGAAGATGAGCTAAAACCTTCTTGGAACCTCTGGGTAGATGACATAGGTCTTAGTTTCTCAACTTTGAAGAGCCTCGGTCTCTACACCTCAATCATTGGCCATCCCTAGAAAGAGATTCATCCCTCAGCCTCAAGGCTACCCGAGAAACTAGTTCAAAGGAGGCTCCACCAAACAGAGGCCAGGCTACTCTTTTCAGCAACAGTAGCTGGGTCAGGAACCCATAACCTCCAGATACACTTTGCCCATATCTGGTCTCCTCGGTTCAAAGAGTCTGCCTGTTCATCAGAAGACTGGCCCGATACATATCAGGGCCTTGAAACCTTAGCTGCCCACCCAACCTGGTAACCATCTTGATTTTTCTAGATCATGACTGTCCGGGCCAGAGTGGAGATGCTGGCCAAGTTGTGAGTAGGCAGAGCCTGCTATAGGCCAGGCTTGTGGGTGTGCAATGCTCAGCTAGCATCTCGCATGGCAAAGATTTGGGTTGTTGAGGACACTGGTGGCAAAAGGCCTTTCCTTCCTGCCCCAGCTCCTCCCTCCTGACTTTAGCTGGTGGCTATGAGGCTGGCCCAATGCCCTTATTGGCAGATGAGAAAGGAAGGCCCTTGCCTTCCTAGAGGTCCACTTGGTGCCAGAGCCTCTGGGCCACCAAGTCAGGAGTAGGTACCATGGACCAAGGAGCAGGACGGTCGGGATCAGGAGTCAGTGGTGGAACTTAGAAAGGTCTAAAGGCCTTACTTCCACCCTGTCCCTTGTCCCTGCCTGCATCCTGCTGTAGCCACAAGGTAAGTGGCTAGCTGGGAGCTGCTGTGTGTGGTAGCTAGAGAAAACAAGTCAAGACACAGCCCAAGGACAAAGAACAGTGCCCTCTCACTAAGGAGACAGTAAGGAAAATGGTATAGGAGACTGTGTCCCTATACATCGGGGATGCCACAGTTGGCCTGCCCTGTGGTGAAGACCTGTGTCTCCTGGCCAGTGCCCGGCTGGGCTTACAAGATCCCTGTCACAGTAAGTCACCTGTGTTGTTACAGATCACCACCCTCAGGAGCCGCATTGACCAGGCCCAGAAGCAGTAAGTAGCCCAGCCCATTCTTGCTCTGTGTTGGGCCTAGAGTCCCCAGGGCCAGCAACCTGCAACCCTACATAGGACCTAGATATTTTAGCCAGTTCCTGAATGAGGGTTCCTGGTAGCTGGCCCTAAGCAGAGCGATAACAAGACTAACTGGGCCCTGGGACCCACTGGCTCCTTCCTCTCCTGCATGTAGGAGGTGCCAGATGGGGTTTGTTAGTGATACATTTCCCCTGTGCTAACCAGCAGTGAGCCTGTAACAGGGTGTGGTAATGAATATCTGCAAACTCAATGCATCTCCAGAGTTGGAAGCAGGATCAAGGCCAGCCTGGGCTACATGAAGTCCTATCTCAATTAACAACAACAAAGAGGTGACGTGAGGGTATAGTTCAGTAGGTAGAGTACTTGTCCAGCATGTACAAGGTCCTTAGTTGGATCTCAGTACCTTAGTTGAGCACATCTATAACCCCAGAACTTTGTGAGGGAGGCAGAGGTAGGAGGATCAGAAGTTCAAGATAGGATGCAGAGTAAGTTTCAAGGCCAGCTTGGGATACAGAAGATGGGAGGAGAAGGGGGGAGGGGTTGTGGAAAATGGATGAATGAATAAACAAACTGATGCCTCAGAAGGGTAACCCCTCCACAGAGGAATCAGATCCCACAGAACTCCAGGGCCTGTTGCAACAGTGACCTCTTACCAGGCTCTTAGTTTGATATAATGCTAAAAGTCTGATGCTGAGCCTGGACATGGGATTATCACACTTCAAGAACAAAATCAAGTGGAGCTGCCTAGACTTCCTGTTTCCTGGGAGTTTTCTCCCTCCTTCCACTCTGCCAGGAAGGGGATATTGACTCACATCTGTTGGGTGGTTTGGAGGGTCATGACAGACTGGTTTGATGAAATGCCATGTGTACATGGGTGCGTGCATGTGTCAGGGTGCTCAGGAAGGCCTGTGAGGTCACATCACCGGCCCAAGATCCCACTGGGGTAGCTCCAGAGCTCACATGCGTTTTTCCTTCTGCCAGCCCAGAGCCTCACATAGCACTTATCCTGCTTCCAGCTTGCTGGGGTACAGAGGGTCTCAGATACTGGGATTCCTAAGTCCTGAGACTAGCTATCCTTAGTTGTGATCCTGAAAGGCACAGGCTTTTCAAAAACACTACTTTTCAAAGCTAGGATGGCATGGGTCTGTCTGCAGTAGTCCCTTTGGCCAAAGCAGGAAAACAGAAGGTGAGCTCAGGTAACCAGCTAACACTATCCTAACCACACTAGTGGCCAGGCCCTGTCAGGCCTACTGCAGGTGAGTCAGCTCCCACTGCTCAGGTTGAAACGAGGTGTGTGCACTCCAAGTGGGGTCAACAGCTTGGGGAGACAGGAGCTAAAGGTCTCCATTAGCTGGCTGGACCCTCTGACGATTAAGCACAATTTGCTTCCCATTTGCAGCAGCAAGAAGGCCGGTGCCACAGCCAAGGGCAAAGTCGGTGGGCGCTGGAAGTAAAAGAGCCAAGAGGTGTCCTGCAGCAGAGACCATCAACCCTGACTCCTGCCAGGGCCCCCTTTTCCAACTCTACATTCTCCAACCCTCATGCCCAGGCATTTTTGGGAACTCAGGGCCCACCCTGCTGCAATGCCCTCACCTTCTGAGGTCTATGAATAAAGTTATCAGACTCCCCTCTACTGTTTGTTTATGTGTTGTGTTATCACACATAAGGGACCTAGGGAAGTTGGGAGGTAATGCTGCAGGACAGGAGCATCATGGGAACACACCTCAGAACAACCCTGGAAAACTCAAGGTATCTTACTGCTATTAGCAACTATGGCTTAACTGCACACAGTGCTGTACCCGAATGGACCTTCAGACTTTGGTCTGAAGCTGTTCTTATCAGAGGCTTTTTATTCCTAGACCCTCTTTGTCTCCAGTACCAGAGCAAGCCCTCCATGTTAGAAAGCTGCCTGGGCAGCCCAAAAAAAAAGCACTGTTTAAAGAAGAAACAGCCCAGCCTCAGGAGGGTTAGGGAGGAAGGCTGGCTGCCTGGAGACGTTGCAGACACCCTGAAACGGGGGAGGCGAGGGGAGCTCCAGCTAGCACATCAAGGGGGGAGAGGAATGCAGGAAAGCACGTTTCCCACGAGGGAGCAAGCTCGGCAAACAGCGTTCTCCTATATTACAGGGAACACAGAACACAACTGTGCAATAAATTTGAAAGTCCTGACCAAATAGAATTATGGAAAATATAAATCACAGAAATTGGATCAAGACGTGGAGCCCTGCACAGCGAGGTATTCATAGAGGAAGGGGCTTGTGCACAGACACCTCCAGGAAGACTGGGGAGGCAGGGCAGCCGCAGCCAGTCCCTGAATGAAAGACAGGGAGTGTACTCAGCCTTCACCAGGCCCCTGAGGGCAACATACAACCTCCAGAGAGCACATGTAACCCATCTGTACATGTACCCCATGAGACAGCAGTGTGGTCCCATCTGTGCATGTACCCCAACGTATACAGTGGTAGAGAGTCCATCTGTGTGTGCACCCCAACAGAGGGTGATGTAGACCCCATCTGGGTATGCACCCCCAATACACATTGCTCTGGTTCCTCTGGTTCACACACACACATACACACACACAAAGGGCTATAAATACACTGTATGGTGATATATCTGGATGCTCTGTGCCTGGCATGTGCTCAGTATTAAAGAAAAAATTGTTCACTGACCCTGGCTGCAGCCCAGTAGGGAAGATTCTATGAACATTGAACTAGCTTTAAGGCCAGCAGCACAGCTCGCAGTGGAGATGGGCTCAGCCGGTCTGTCATGGGCAGGGGACATAGAACCAAGGGGCAGGAATGGACAGTAACTCAGAAACCAGGGTAGAGGACTCCAGCTAAGAAGACCTCACATAATGCTGCTGAAGGCAGGCTAGGGGATTAGACATTGCCTGGGTGGTATCCTTAATATGCTTAGTAAGAAACATAGACAAATACATTTATATCTTTCCACAATGTCAGAATGTATTGATTAATAGCACTATATTCACAAGGTAAGGCCATTTCAATGGTAGCATTTGCCAGATAATCCTAGTTTTTTTGATAGTCTGACAATGGCAAACACAGGTTCTTTCATTTCAATCTTAATTACTAATATTGACTCTCAGATCACACACCACACAGTAAATATATCTATCTATAGCTCTATCTATATATGTATGTTACATAATGGCTACAAAGGTTTAAAGAGGTAGGAAGTTTCAAAGAGTCCTGAGAAGTCAAAACTGGGAAATTGCTAGGGCTATAAGTGTCTCTGTATTGATAAGATAAAGAGCAGGATGGAGCTAAAGCAGAGGCCGGAGAGGTTTCTGTAACATGGGGCCTGCTGTATGGTCAGAGCTGAGCAGTAGGAGTGAGGTGAAGTGAAGGACAGGGTTAGGTCCAGATGAGCCAACGGGTAGGTAGAAGATGGATGGCAGGTCCAGACAAAGGAACAGGGAGATAGCAATTGAATAAGCCATCAACAGTGGCACCAAACTGAGCAAAGCCCCTGAGACAGTTAGATATTCTCTCCCAGTCAGTTCTACACACACACACACACACACACACACACACACACACACACACACACACATACACTGGGTAGTTGGATGACTGTTTAGGGCAGAGGGGACATTGCCATCCATCCCTATACGAGGTCTCTATCTCTTTATGAAATCTGGGTGAGGGATGTCCACCTTTTCTTGGTCTGTGAATTCTTGGGTCTTGTTTCTCTGGTATAAATTTAGTATGCCCATGGGCCCCTACAGTCTCAATTCACTCCAATTCATTTTTGGGGTGACACCCTTTCTACTCTGGAGAGTGTTATTTATCCAGCTGTGTGTCCTGTGTGGCACTGGGCAGATGGTACCATTCCTGTGTCCACCAAGGCACATAGCCACCCCCATCTTCTAAATGGAGTAAAAAAACTGCATATAAAATATAATCTCTCAGGGCAGCACACAGCCTAATTTCTTTTTTGTTTTTTTGTTTTTTGGTTTTTCGAGACAGGGTTTCTCTGTATAGCCCACAGCCTAATTTCTTTAGAAAAACAAAATGAAGCTGGGTGTGGTGGCACAAGCCTTTAACCCCAGCACTTTAGAGGCAGAGGCAGGCTGATCTCTGTGAAAGTGAGTTCCAGGACAGCCAGGGCTACACAGAGAAATCCTGTCTTGAGAAAAAAGCACAGGAGTCTGGAGAGATAGCTCAGGGGTTAAGAGCACTGGCTGCCTTTCCGGAGGACCCAGGTTCAATTCCCAGCGACCACATGGTGGCTCACATCTCTCTGTACATGAAGGCAAGATACCAATGAACATAAAGTCAAAATAAGTTTTAAAACATTTTTAAAATGTGCATAATACAGAGTAACGTATGGCAGGACACAATCTGATTTCAACCAATAGGGAGCACTCTAAAAACACATGAGGGTACTCAGGTGTCAGGAGAGGGGCTTGCTGGCCTGACTCAGTAGTGAGGTTCTTTCATTTTTGTTGTTTTTAAGAGGTTTATTTATTTATTTTATGTGAGTGCACTGTCACCATCTTCAGACATTCCAGAAGAGGGCATCGGATCCTGTTACAGATGTCTGGGAACTAGCATGTAGGTATGGTTGTTCACATGTGGTTGCTGGGAATTGAACTCAGGACCTCTGAAACAACGGTTAGTGCTCTTAACCTCTGAGCCATATCTCCAGCCCCAAGGTTCCCTCTTTTGTATAAAGAAGTTCGAGAACAGGACAGTCAGCAGGTAGACTGGGTGAAGTGTGACCCAAAGCAGAGCATCTTTGTCCACACCCAGTATACACATACACCAACTCAAAACTCCACACATGCACATACTAATGGCCCTCACAAATGCAGTCTCTCACATGTATGAACACACCTCAACACACACCCTGGCCCAGAGGTCTTCATCCATTCATATACGATATACTTACTCCCAACTCCCCACCCCCCACACACACATACTCACACACACTCACACACACACACACACACACAGAGCCACTCTCCTGTATGTATTACACCCAATGTGACCGGGCACTTTTTAAGATTTTTTTTCCAGAAATGTATAGTCAGAAAAATTAATACAAAGAGTGTTGAGCCCTGTGGATCCAGAAACCAATCTCATGTCCTTGCCTTGTTCTGAAAGGCAGCTGAACAGCCCAGAACTGCCTGAACAGAATAGCTAAGCCAGGAACAGAATAGGCCACTACCCTGAGCAGGAGGACTCCATGGATCAGAAGCTGGCTATGGTTCAGAACTGAATGGGGAACTGGAAACCCCAGTAAGCCCTGGTTCTAAGCATGCCACTCACAGTAATGGAGGATTAAGGATAAAAAAAAAAAAAAAAAAAAGTTGGGAGGTGTGTGAGACTGGAAACAAGAGGCTGTTGAGCTGTTCCCACAGGCCAGGAATGCACATGAAACTCCCAAAGGCTGACCTCAGCCGAGGACCCAAAGCACACTCCAACAGAGGCAGAACAGAGACGCCCCAACCCAACAAGGAGGGGACTTTTACATCGTATCTTGGGAAAGAGCTGAATAGCTCTGAACCCAAGAGGAAGTCTTAGAGGACAGCAGGAAGTACTTAGGGTTGAAGGGTAATGGCCCATGGTGCTGGGGAACTGGAGGGACACAGGGTAAACCATGGGCCCCTCTGCTTACATTAGAAGAGGGAGCACAGCCTCCATGTCAGATAGTTGCACAAGTTACACACAGGACTTGAGAAATTCTCAGAACAACAAAGAACTAACGAGAAATCGAGACTCGAGAAGACCATGATAAACAGAAGTTAATAAGTAGGGACTTGTATGGGTAGGGTCACAGAAACAAAAGCCTGATCTGAGAGACAGGTGAGTTGTGTCACCTGCCAGATATCTGATGGAAAGTTCAGTGGCCGGAGGGGACAGATACAGATAATGAGAACCCGGAAAGAGGGCCATAACAGCAGAGATGGCCCAGACTTAATTGCCCACAAGAATGTCACAAACAGATTGCAGCAATCTACCTGGAAACTGGGAAAAACAGCCCAGTCCCCAGGGGAAATGTGCCTTGCAAAACAGGGTCCAGGTGAAGAATAAACCTTGAGTAAACCAACTCTCTTGAAAAAAGCTGACACTGTGGCTAAATCTTTCCTGTCAACTCATCTCTGCCCTTTTAAAAACAGTATGATGTCCATAGCAATGATGGCTTCACATCAGAAATCAGAATAATGGGATTGGAGTTCACAAGACATAAAAATGGTGAAAAGGCCACAAGGACATGTTGAAGACTGTCACACAGCTCAGTGGTAGAGTATCTATTCAGCATGCATGGGGCCCCCTGGGCTGCAAAGTTCAAGAGTTTTTGAAAAGTAGCACAGAATACACACTACAATTCTGGAAGCTGAGCATGGTGATGCTTGCCTTTAATCCCAGCACTTGGGAGGCAGAGGCAATTGAATCTCTGGGAAATTGAAGCCAGCCTAGTGTAC